GATATAAGATAGCTTTATTTCTCACTCACTACCAGAAATTTGTAAACACCGACCAAAAAATTAAACATAATCATGGTACACAAAAAAGGTACAAAATTCGTGGTACAGCAGTTCCTCAGCCACATAAATCTATAATGCAGCGGTCATATATATATATTTAGCGACAAAACTTTATGAAATTATACCTAAAGACTTAAAATATTCACGTTTCGGAAATTGTTTTAAAAGAAATTTAAAAATATATCTAGGACTGAAATTCATAAACTCATAAATACGAATATCAAGTAAATACATAATCTACTGTGGCTATTTTTTGTCCTTTTTTGTCATTTGCATTCTACAGTTGCAACTTAAAATTATTGGTCCATGTACAGGCAGTGCCTTCTATTGGGCCTGTTTTGATTTTATATTTATTTACCCATGTTGCTTGTTCTCTTTGTACATTGAGTGAATAAATATTATTATTATTATTATTATTATTATTATTATTATTATTATTGTTATTATTATACTCGTTGAAAATAGGGGTCTGGGTAGTCGGATGTTTTACGTGGACCAGCTGTTGGCACGTCGGCTCAAAGGCTGGCAGGTTCGAATACCGGCCTCGGAAGTTACATTTTCAGCTATGGATGTTGTGTTTGTCCATATATGTATGCACCAGATCGGTGCAAGGTGAGAAATGTACAATGGCTAGCTGTAGCTTTAGTCAATAATTAGTTTCCAGTGGATAAGCACATGGAGTCCAGTATTGACACAACGAGGTCGGAAAAAGGTTCAAAGGTGAGCTAAATCAGAGGCTTCGATACCCTATCACAACGACTACTATCTGTAGAATCAATCTTGGACAGCGTGGTCGGTTACATCTCCTGCTTGTAAGCAGCACTTTAAACTGAGTCTTATCTGGATCCTGTACAAAGTGAAGAGGTTATGTCGAGAAAAGTACTCCTAGCCCGAAACAGATATCCTAACTCCTTTCCACCAGCTGCCGCGACTGACAGTAGGAACAGTAGGAAAAACTTCTGGTAGACTCGGAGCCCTACTGACGGAAAGAGAATGAGAAGCAGAAATTCGGCGAGTCTATCTAAATCAGCAACATGGTGGTGTTAATTTCAACGAAACATCGAACTTTAATGTCAATTGTTCTTACCGTACGGAATAGCAATCAACAACATATTATTACTTAATGAAAACAATGTCTCTAAGGAACTGCACTTCCGCGCATTACTTTCAATGCTGCATTTTTCATCTAAACGCTCTTTATGATCTAGATCCGGGAAAAAGAACGAAACAACAATTTGCTTTCCATCGTAAAACGCAAAATCTCATTAGGTTCGTCCGAGCAAACACAATGCAGTTTAAAAGCTTAGGAAACCATCGTGGAATAATTGAAGTAGTCTTCATTCTTATACAATGAAACGGTTGCACAACCCAGAATTATGACGATTAACGATGGTAGACACATAATCATAGATGGCTTAGATGCTGCTTGAGTATAATGATGGTTACTTTCTATCGATGTAGGATGATAATTTGCCGACCAAAACGAAAATATTGGGTGAAAAATGTGATGCAACACTCGAGATGATTATTGTTTATAGAAAATTTTAATCGTATAGAATGTGGCTTCTGGAAAATTACTAGCAGTAATTGTATGTATATGCTTAACCAAACGAGTCGTTGTATGCTGTAGGATGTGCACAGGGTGTGTCATCTCAAGCCTCTGTTAGGCTCGAAAATTGTAAAATCTGTCGCTTAATTGTAACTTTCATAGCCAGACTCATGTCAACAAGCTTCCAACGAAACTCACTTAGCAATTTCCAATTACTATTACCCACAGAAGAGATTAGTTCAGAGCAAACAGATCCAGTCATGCCACGATGCGATAATATGATTACCTCTCAACTATAAAATGTACCTATTTATACTCGATTTATTTTTCTTCATCTCAAACACTTTAAATTAGGGTTAACGCTGTGTCAGCTCATTGCATCGCAAATGGCAGGCCATTACTTACTCATTATTTGGTAAATATTAGAAGAAGGTGTGTAAAACTTTATCGATTTGAAAATTTTGAAAAGCATCTAAGGCCCGTATCGTCAGTCGTCCCTACAATTGTAGGGCGCCTTTATGGCCTCCTTGATTGTTATAGTTTTCTATTTCTCCGTGTCAGAACTCTATTTTGAGGTTATGTCACAAACATCTATTTGCATCAAATTGTGCTTGCTTTTGAGTTATATCATGTTTTATCAGCCTGAAATTTCCTACAATTTAAAAAGAAAATATATCTTCACAATAGGAGAGCGCTGACGCTGACACGGGACAAGTGTAATCTAGAAATTTTTGAAGGAGAGAAAGAAGTATGACAATCAAGGAGGCCATAAACGCGCCCTACAATTGTAGGAACGACTGACGATACGGGCCTAAGAGTGTGTTTTAAATGCGTATATTTACTTTATAATGCTAAGCACCATGTACTTTACACTTACAATTATAGTGAAAATGTATCATTAAATAAATACTTTTCAAAACCTACACATCGATAGTTCGACAAATAGGTGCCAGAATTGGACTCCAAGTAAAAATTGTCAATCATCCATTAAGATTTTATTCATAAGCAAGTATACAGAATATATTTAAGACAGATACAAGTTTTCAATTTCTTAGTAAAATTGCAAATATACACTCCTTTTTCTGTTCTCTGCCTTCTTCAATCCCATGTTCTTATTTCATTCTTATTTTAAAAGGCATGATCTTCCATTAGGTTTTTCGATTACCGTCTTCCGGATTCGAAAAGAATACTTAATAGGAGATTAAGGCAACTGAGAAGGTCCGGTTTGCCAACACGGAAACCTAGTATATTTTATAGAATTTCAGTCAACCACATAAATGAATAAATTTCCTGAGAAATTTGGATCAATTATCATGCCAATGGAAAAAATATGTAAATATAAGAGCTTACTTGCAAATAACAATGCGCACTGAGCAACAACTTTTATACTATCAAAACACATGATGAATACGTAGAGCTACTATTTACACTTAATGTAGTTTTAGTGAATGTAGAATCATTGAGACCGGAGGTCCACCTTACCGGGGAGGTCCAGCTTAGGGCACTTTTCTATATACTTCTAACTGTGTAATTGGAAGCATGAATCACGGAGAGGATACACCCTGTTTACTCAAAGGAATGGGTTTTCTTTATCTGTATGCTTCAGCCACCAAAACACCCCATAGAATATAAATGAATCCAACATGCTATGGCATAAATCATTCAAAGTAAATTGAAAAATAATTGAATAACATAAATTTTCAGTTACTCCCAGACAGTTTAACGAACATTTTTCACACCATATATTAAGAGATCGTAATAGATGTAGATTGACAAATGTTTTGCAGATAAATGATAACAGAAAGTTTTTCTAAAACATTAGAATTCCGAGGGTATCTTTTGGAAATCTTCATTTTGTTATTCTGATTGACATTCGTTATCTTCATTATTCCCGCAGCAATTATAGCTTCATCAACTTAAGAAATATTCCATCTTTTGTTAATAGAATCGAGAACTATGATAATGAATGGAAATGTAAATCGACGGAGAATATGGCTTTAAAATGCAGCTTGGCATCGAAGGAAATTTGAAAGCCTAAGAACCCTTAAAAATTGTTGCCCCAGTTGTGTATTAGTTACGTTCCATGTTATCATGTTGTCTCTGATCTATCGCGTTTTCCCTGGTTAAAAATGTATGGGATAAAGATCTTCCAAAGCGCAAAACCTATGTACATCTTAACTTCGATAATGTTATTTATATCATGAACTTGCTTTTATTTAACTTGACCTCTAAGTAGTATGTTAGTATGGGACAAATCTTGGAACGCAATTTTGAATCAGTTGACCTTAACCAATTGAGCTGAAATTTTGTATACACGTTTGGTGGTCATAATGCATTGATATCAAATGATAGTGTTTGATCAAAGAAACACAATAAGCAAAATGACGATATTGTAAATATAATGTGGCGACAGCGGCAAAATGGTGATCTTCTACAGTAAAAACAACAATATGGGTGTCTAATGCAAAAATTTGACGAGCGAAGCATAATAATTAATTTGTCATTCTAGACAATTCATTATATGAAATAACTGATGTAATATATATCGATCGAAATCTCATAATAAATATAAAGGAAGGTTATTTATGAAGACCTATTAATAGTAGGAATTACTAAATACTAAGTAAAAAAAACAAAAAACTTTTTTAAAAACAAGGCTTTATTTAACCGTTAATAGAGAGGCTCAACAACATACACGATAAATGATAATGAAGCTTTATCGTCTCAAGGTACGCGTTACATTTAAACAGCAAGAAGGGAAAAGTGTAACACGCTTTTGGGTGAAAGCTTGAGACAAAGGAGCTTTATTAACGCAAAAAGTTTGAGAACTGCATATTCCCAATCGAAAGAATACTTAGGAACTAAACCTTTCATAAATGGTTAAATAAAGCTTGTTATTATTATTTTTCCATTCATTTGTTTATTGAATATTAACTCGAAAAAATGCGTGAAATTATTGCTTAAAGTCATTGTACTGACACAGGTTCCGCAAAGTTGAATTAGACTATTTTGTTCATTATTTACATAGGTCCTTAGAGGAACTTGATATCTCAATAGAAGCAATCTTTATTTATAATTTATCTATAAATAATTCCATTTTCACAATGAACAAGTTTGTAGAAATGTTTAAAAGCTGATCATATGAAACGTAATACGTTGATATCATTAATAAAAATTTAATGAAATTCTGAACCGTTTGAGTACCTAAATATTGATAAGCCCGTAGTTTCTTTCGACTACCTACTTTATGCTACAAAGTCGAACAGTAATGGAAATGTTGAAAAACCAACTGTCTGAAACTGAAAGCATTGGTCCCACCTCAATCGCAGTGCACAATGTCCAGCATAAAATCGTTTAAAATTAAGACTAAAATATTAAAATCAATGTATAGGTACTTTGCGCGCTGTTGCCAGCAGCTCTGGCCCGACCAGAGGCAGGCTACAGCTATCCCAGCGGCGGCGGAAGCGGTCCCAGTGCCGGTGGTTATCCCTCTGGACCCGCGACGTCGTATGGTCCACCAGCAGGAGGACCACCAGTTGTCCAGAAGCATGTATACGTACACGTGCCACCACCGGAAACTGATATACCAGCACCAAAGAAACCGCTTACGGTGGCACCGGCGCAGAAACATTACAAGATCATATTCATCAAGGTATGCATTATGAAACAAGTAACAACCTAGTAATATAACTTTTTTTCGTCCGACCACATACGGCCAACCATTAACAGCTGTTTTATGCTATGTCAACTCCTCAGCATGCTGTAGGCTATGTTTTGTTCAATGGCGAGTAGACGATATCTACTATAGCTCCAGAATCGCCGGCATATAGCGGTCACACTAGTGACCAGACTGATCTCGTAACGCAAACTGGGATGCCGTTCCAACAGACAGCTTGCTATTTCACTTCCGCAGTGGTCGATTCTGGTCACAGATGTCACCTTGAGCTGCCTTATTTCGATAGTAGATGTTGAGCTTCAACTAATGTGTTTTTTTAAGGAGTGTTGTATGTCCCTACGATTTCACAGATCGAAAATGAGAAAAATATAGTAGTTTATACAAAATCCTCCACGAAAACATTAAAACTGGGTAGTTGAGACGTCTTATGGCTTTCTCATTTTTGTAAAGCAAATTCGGAAATTCGAATGTAAAGGTTGTTGTTTTTAGACAGATATTTTTAAATCCGGATTTGGATTTATTTCTCTGGTGATGTCGTTACTAATACCCAAGATGCTTAGTGATGCACTTTACTCAAAAAGCAGACATTTTGATATTTATATGACACCTCTTTCAGTCCCTAAAATGCAAAAAATAGATTACGAAAAAATAAAAAAGATCTGTATGAAATCACAAAACGTATCAAATTATACAAAAGTATTAAAAATAGGAGTATAGACAATCAAATTTAAATTGAAGCTTGATCTGAACAATTGATTCATAACTATAAAAAAAACTTTGAAATTCCATCCTTCAGGTTTTTGAATATTAAAACATATTTTACAAGTTTTGTACACCTGAAGAAGATATCAATTAAATGGCAAAACGTCTGATTTTAAAGTGAAAAGCATCGCTAAGCACCTTACGTCTTATATCCTAAAATCCAAAGGTTAAGACTAGTAACGTAATCGACTGGGATAAGAATTAACTCTTGATATGTCAATCATTTCGATAAGATGCACTGGGTAAATGCTTACCGAGTTCCAAAAGATACGTAGGGTTGTTTACAACCACCACAGCGCCTCTAAACCGGAGATAAAATAATCCTCTGGGATGTAATACCCTATATAATTCAACAATTATTTTTTTCAGGCACCAACTCCACCAACCCCAACTGCTCCAATAATCCCAGTACAACCACAGAACGAAGAAAAGACCCTTGTTTACGTACTGGTCAAAAAACCAGAACCAGAACCGGATATTGTCATCCCTACACCTGCACCAACACAACCAAGCAAACCAGAAGTATACTTCATCAGATACAAGACGCAGGTAAGCATTTTCTAAAATCCGTTTTGTACAATTTTTGGTTTTGCATTTGACAATATCTTGTGCTTTTACCTGTAACCTTGACAAAATTGATGGAATTGAAATATGAGGAAGATTAAGGATGTTATAAGAGAATGTCTCACGATCAGTATTAACTGAGGTCGTACCATCTGGGCTACGTTTGTAAATTGTTACAGAGTGTACTTTGTACTACTCTACATTTCATTACTGTGTACGGAATTACATTACCAACTGATCTACAAACGCACCCCTAGTACTTACTGATTGTTACATCAGGGAATCACAGTTCATCGCAACGTAGCGCTACAGCAGCGATACTTTATTTTCGGTGAATGCACATGATCACTTTGAGCGATACTGAAGCGATCGCCATTTTTTTCATCACCATCAAAATATGCTTTGCTCTTGATCAAGTGGTACACCAAATACTGTGTTATGGTGTCTTATTTGCCCCATTTGTTAAAATAAAGCTGATATAGATAATTATGATAGAAAATTTCAAAATTGATGACAACAAACAGGAGAAATGGAACGAAAAGATAACCAACGAGTATAAAAAGACCTCTATTCAGTCACTGAATTACCAGAGGTTCATTGCGTTGTACAAAAAGGCAAAATTTCTCTCTCTCTCTACCTATAACATTTAAACCGTTTTGTGTGACCGCTACTGTAGCGCTACGTTGTGATGAACGGGACTAATTATAACTAACGGTCAATAAATATCATATTACATGATGAATACCACAGATCACAGTTAACGTGTGACATTCACCTTAAACGGGCTTTATAAGATTTGCGCTAGAAATTTGATGCTGTAGTATGCAGAATTGATCGAAAACAAGGACGTAATGAAACGACGATCAAGCCTGAGACCGATTGACAAGAAAAAATATGCCTCTGTCACACTTAATAATTAAAAAAAATATGTTAAGCATAAGAAGAACGTGCGTTGCTCTTCTTGTTTATTTATTTTACTCTGGGCTATTTCAAAATTGTAGTTATTTCTGTGTCAGTGCTATGCCACTGGTCTTGCGAATTTGTTACAGGCTTGGCCGTGGTTGCTATCTCCTGTCGCCGTCGCTCCAATGTTTGCATCTCCGTACAGTGATTACTCTCTTAGGCCTTTGAAGAGAGTCGCTGTCCGTTTATTCGTCAGCATGTGAAATGATATCGTCCTTTAAGCTTTGAGTCGGTTGTGCCCCACAAAAGATGCAACTGATGCATAAAAAACGATCCCTGAGAAATAGGTGCATTGATATTGTGGTATAAACAGAAGAGCCCATCAATTGCGACCGACATCTTGAATCAAGAAAGCCGCTCTGGGATGCCACATGATAGCAGCTTATACGGGAAAGTAGGCTGGTCTCAATACTGATAATCTATGAACCACAATAGTGTCCGGATGTAGATTGCAGAAGTTTGGTGAAACTTTGCATCATGTGACGATGACGATATCGATTAGTAAAATAATCTCTATTAATTCATAATAGATCATAATTTTTACTATGCAGCTTTTTACAATTATTTTACTAATCGATTAAAACTTTAGGGTTCTCTTTACTAGGAACAAGAAAATTATTCTTCTGCGTGTCTTAGGTTGGAATTTTACTATTAAGATCTCAGAAACGAGTTTCGCATTTAGGTAACCTAGAAAACAGTACGTTGCAGTGCAGAGATAGAGCAGAAACATTTCATCCTTCAAAAAAAGCTTTTATTTTGTCATGTCTTTATTTGAGAAGAGATAACAAAATAAATTGCACATGCACGTTGCCACTTTTTCTCCTCTACAATGAGGCATAATTAGATTCCCAATATGACGTTCCGTCTCTTGTCCTCAATCATCAACTTTTTCTTTCTTATGGGCGCCATAATAGATTTTTGTATATAAGTGAATAAGGTTTTCAATTCAGTTTCCAAAAATGTACAATATGTTATACATTGTCATTGCCAAGTCATGGTTATTCCAAATAACTACTGTTATCAACGTAGGTTTTAAATAAGCGTGTTTGAAGGACAGTCAGATAGTTTGCCCATTTTTTAACTACAGCACGTTATTTTAGCACTATGAAGCTTCTCTCCATGACTCCTAAGCCTTAGATTCAATTTATTTGAATTTAAAACCTTTGCATCGATTTAGATATGTCAGATATGAAATGGGTTTCATAACCTGCATTTTCTTAGTTACCTAAATGTGTAACTTTGTCCCAACTTTATGCGTATTTTTCATTATTCCAACTCGACCATTGTTTTTCATTTTACAGAAGGAAGAAGCCGGTGGCTATCCAGCAAGTGGTCAGCCGGAGACATCCTATGGCGCTCCCTCAGGATCTGGCCCATCCAGCGAATATGGCCCGCCACGCAGTTTCTAAGACCAACCATGTTCAACAGAGGAACAAGCTGTACATTTTGTAAATACTTCTCATGCCAGTTACCCTCTAGTATGTGATAAGCTGCAGATAGAATACGGTGCACAAATGTATTTGAAACGTATGTTTAGGAAGCTCTAAAAGAGTTATAGTGATATTTAGTGATGAATAGTGTGATGTTTTGGACTGGAGGTATCTAAAAATACGGCGGTCACTATAATAAGATAAAGTTATACACATTAGACGTATAATAACTTTGTGCCTGATGTATGCACAATAAAGTCAAGTCAACGTCAAATCTATACTTTCACAAACGTCACTAAGATTTGATTTATTATTATTCATTTACTCCAAATATATAGCGTTTTACACCCACCTTTGGTGTAGCCCTACACGATGTTACGAAATGGTATCGGAAAAGGGCTACAAATAAAAATTGCTCTGAAATGTTATACTTACTACAGTTCGATGTGACCCCACCTTAAGAAGTTGTTGTCTGTTGGAATACTTTGTTTTATTTTTATTATCAGTTGCTGCAATCATTGCTAAGCAATGCAGATAGCTGAAAGGTATTTTATACACATATATGTTATATATTTTGTATACACTGTATGCTTGTGTTTTATAAAATTTTATAATTTTTTAATAAAATTTGTTAAAATACATCATAACAGTATTTTTGTTGTCAACTCCAAATCACAGCCAAGGGCTGGGGTGGGTCTTCTAACAAGATACTGGCATATCACCTTCTTGAACTTACCGAAGAAGCTGTTGACTTCTATACAGGGCACTGTATACAGGATGTCCCAGAAGTCGACGTCAAGCCGGAAACGGGGAATAGGTAAACTCATGAACATTATCAAAAAAATATAAAAAATCCAAGTCGTGTACTTTTCAAATTATAGGCTTTAAAACAAATTGGAAAAATCTACACCATATGATGATTTAGTTCTCATTAGTTCAAATTTCAATTCTTTCTTGTCAGCAACACAGATAGTAACGCCACTTTTGTACCGCCATGTCTGTCTACACCGTGCACAAGATGTGCGATTTTTAGAGAAAATTTTATGGACTGATGACTCGACATTTAAAAAGATTGTTACATGTATCTATACGACTTACACGAGTGGCATGTAGAAAATCCAAATTTAATTACACTAAATAGATCACAGTTTTGTTTTGGACCGTGAATCATTGCACCAGTTAAACTGCCAGAGTTCTTGAATGGCGAAATTTATTTAGACCTTTTACAAAATCATTTACCAAATTTATTGGAAGACGTGCCACTAAGCATTTACAGAGATATGTGGTGCCATCAATACGCCTGCACTATGACCGTTCAGTTAGATAATATCCTGATGCGGAATACCCCAGCAGGTGGATAGCGCGGTCTGGTACAATTTAGTGGTCAGCCCGTTCACCGCTTTTTTTACTGGGGAGCAGTGAATGGAAAAGTTCACTCAGAGTCAATCGAAAATTTAGCTGAGATACGCAAGCTGCTGAATTTGATATTGACAGAAGATTCCAAACCTATAAAACGTCAAAAAACCTATAAAATGTCATCTTGCAGACTAGATAGCTTTTAGGGTGCAATCTGTCATTCCACGTTTGCTCACTAGGATCGTTGTGAGCGTCGATCTATGGAGGAATGACTCAACTACACGCATTGTTGGTTGCATATGATTTGTGAAGCCGATTAGTCTGTAGTTTTCATGTCTGAGAAGAAAGTTGGTTGAATAGCAAGATCGCGTCAGGATAGTTATCTGTATTGGTCTGCATGTGTACAAAATCAGTAACATTTGCTGGGCGAGGAAATCGCTACTGAATATGCTGCCAATGAAGTATATCTATTAGCTGTGCCCGAAGGGTTATTTATTATATTTCTGAACACAGGTTATGTTCAAAGTTATAAATTACGATTTTTTAAGCTTTTTTTGTGTTTTCAAAAACTTTAAGAATCACGGGAAATCACCACCGCTGCCGCCTTGTGTGTAGTTTCTGTTAGCATGTATATGATAACGGAATTATCATCAACACATTATTAGCACACAAACCCATACTATGCACTTACGCGGTTTCCTTCTAGCTGTAGTATACAACTTACAGCTTAGACCTCCAGTAATGACATCTCCGGAGCAGATCAGCATGACATTTAGGCAACACGTACAACAAAACGAGTTCACCACAAGTGTCCATCAGCTAGTGCTAAGTTAACTTCTTGTAGAAAAACTTACATAATGTCACAAAAAACAGTAAGATGTCAATAATGTCACATTTCAAGATACGTAATACGCGTGCGGATCATTTTTAAGATGTCAAGGTTGCATTGCTGCTAAAGGAAGTCAGTTTGAACATTAATTGTGAATTTAATAAATACATGCACGAATTAATGAAAATGGCGTTACTATCTGTTTTGCTGACACTACGTAGAATGACACCGTCCGCCACTTCGTCTAAGAAAAAATTTGAAATCTGTAGTATTAGGAACCAAAAGATCATCACACTAAGATTTTGCCGATGTTTTTATATGCCGATAATATGAAAAGTACACGACCCAGATGTTTTATATTTTTCTGATAACTATTATGAACTGCTCTATCTATCTTCTATCCCGTCTTCTAGTTCATCCTTCCCAAGCTTTGATGTGGGGACTTCTCCATCGGATCTCTTTCTTTTCGTAAAGAAGATCTCCGCCACCTGTGACATGGTATGCTGTACGTCAGGCAGTGACATAGTTCTGCCCCAAAGTACAAAAACCAGACAGATTGGGGTAGACATACTTGCAGTGAGTCTATTCATTGTATCTGGTATCCAATCCTTGTAACGTTAGGTCGCTGTTAAGTAAATTTAGTACTACAGTCAGTTTAGTTCTCGCGTCTCGTCTGGTCGATATACATAGATTCTGATTCTACAAGTGAAACTACACATAAGTTATGGCAGCTACTCATCAAGCGCAGACAAATAAAGGTTCATTAAAGTGTTTTGTAATGTATCTTGAAAACTTCAATGAAAGCGAAGTAAATCAATCAGAGGCTCGTTTAGAGCAAGCCAAGCACCGTTTTTATAAAGTACAAGAGGAAATAGAGCTTCTCAGTGATCATGAGATAAATTGAAAAATGACATCGACGTTTGGGGACAGCTATTATAGCGCAAAAGAAAAGGCACGCAAATATATGAAATCGAACAATCAAAAAAACAATCTGAGTGACACAAAAAGGTAAACACCTACGTATGTTTATCCGATTTTAATAATTTCTGGCATATATGTTCAGTGTCTCTTCTTTCAGCTTGATTCGTCAACTGATTGCAGAAGCTGGTTCAATGATGTGTTGAGGATCCACGATTTCTTATACACTCATTGACACGCCTGGGCATCGTGCAGATAAGGTGGTCGATATCATGTTGGGTTATCTCATTCCAGGCTACTGCAACTTCGTGAGTAAGAGCTGCTAAAATCTGTGGAGAGTATTGCAAATTCAAGAGCCTGCGACCTATCATGTCTCTGACATATTCAATTGGAGATAGGTCAGGCGATCGTGGTGTCGAAGGTAATCGGGTTTTGGATGGTGTTAGGTATGGAATAAGGTGAGGTTACACTGCTTCCTGAATATAGCGTCGGGCTATCATATTGCCTCTGCTGAAATTAGTGATCTGCTACCATAAGCAATAGCACCCCATACCATAACTCCCACGGTGTGGTGAACGTGACGCTCTCTGTCAAATTGTGGGTCACGTCGTTCACCACGTCGCCCTCTCACTCTTGCCAGATCATCATGCATCCCCAGACAGAAACGGGATTCGTCACTAAAGACCACCTGATTCCTTTCCCGGTCCCGTAGGATTCTTTCTCTACACCAGAGCAAACGGTTACGCCGATGTTCAGCTGTGAGAGGTAGCACCCAATGTGTGCGATAAGAAAAAAGGCCAAAATGTCGTATTCGGCGATATACGGTGCGCATACCATGCCACGCCTTTTTTTGGTTAATTAATAAAACACAATGATAAATACTATACTACTACTTTAAGCAGCAGCGGTGGCCGCAGTAGTAGACTCTTCGGTCTCCTGATCAGTCGCCGTGCGCTGTGCGGGTTCGAGTCCCGTTCCAGGAGAAATTTTTCTCTTGGCTATGGATGTTGTGATTTTCCGTAGGTGGTAGATGGTCTCTGACTGTCGAACGTGGAGGTACCACCCGGCGGATCTCGTAGGCGGAGCCAGAATGTGTGCATGTTGCATCCACACGTCTTCCCTCGCCAGAGTCCGTGTGGCGTTCCCCCTTTCCCCCTATAGCCCCACGGTACCCAATGGGTGTTTAGGCCTTAGGCCTTCGTGGTAGTTGGAATATAAAAAAAAAATATCTAACGGTTGGTCCAAGCAAAACAGTTGTCTAGTGGCGTGCAAATTTAGGCCCTAGCTCAACAAAGCGGAGAGAAGGGGGGGGGGGTTCAGAGCGCCAGTGACTTAGGACGGAAAAAGCCACAACTCCCCGAGATGTTAGTCGGAAGTTGTTTTGCTTGACCACCACACAAAAGGAGAATCGGGAGAATCTAACAGAGATAACGAAATTTAAGTAACAGTACACACAGAGAGAGCCAAATAAAACAAGATATTAAATGAATCACAATATATTGATTAATAAAAAAACGCACATGTGCTCCACTACTGGAGTGCGAGTAATAAAAAACAGAAAGGATGTTATAAATCTTAAATACAACGTGACAAAATTATTTTTCGAGATAACCCCGCGAAATGTCTACCATGGTATAGTACGCCCGAAGTATTTACAGATATTTTGCGCCTAAATATTAAACTTATCTGTAGATCTTCTTTGTCGGGCGCGGCCAAGGTGTCCTCAACTCTGGTCAAAAAGCTGCCAGTAGCGGGCACGACACTGGGCAGGGGCTGCTTGCCTCGTTGCCAAAAATTATGGTAGTAAAAAAACCCTAGTGCGAGAAAGACTGTTTAAAAATCTACTCTACTCTCTGTCTGAGATAAAACTACTCATTGAAAACAATCGCACTTGAAGCAAAGACAAAAAAAGATAAAAATGTACTAAACTAATATACCCTTGTTCTAAAAAGTTATGGCAGCTCAAAAATCAAAATCACGATCAATGTAGAAGGTGACATGTAGGCACTGCCCCCATATTTGAGTACGTAGAATATCCAATAAAATCAAGAAGTCTCTAAGAATTTCAATAAGCAATAATAAATGTATAAAGATTTATGAAATTGTTAATTAGAATGATATTTTACCTGTTCACATCAAGGTTTTTTCCAAGGGGATGGCTTCCATCAATTTGCAAAACTGCAACGATGCAACTGACTGGAGGAGAAAAGATGATGATTTTCTTCTGTTTTTATTGACTAAAAGAAAGCAGATATTGAACGAACGTCATCAGGACACGCATTAAGGCACGTGGTCCGAAGGTATATAAAAAAGAACTTACCGCTGAAGATTAAAATCCCATAAAAAAATGGAAGACGTAGCACCCAAAACAAAATGACTAAACTTAAGTTACACAAAAAAGGCGCTTGGGGCCTAATATCCCAGAGTCCGGAAAATGTCGAAACGACCCCTGCACCACGACCTTAACGGAAACAGAAAAGCGAATCACGCAGAACACGTAACGTTCTAGAAGAAGGTATCTTGAGTGGCCTTGAAGCA